TGTTTGGTTGTTAATGTTAACACGATACACCTCTTCACTTTCTTGAGTCTCTGGAACTTGAGTTTGTGGTATATCATCACCAAATGTTTCTGAATTCAGATAACCTTCATCATTAACTAACTCCTCGTTCATAATCTCTTCTCTTCTTTGGCTCACAGAGTATTGAGACTGCGAATGGACGTCATATAATTTGAAACACCGTTCTATGATATCCCAAAACTCTAGTGGTTTTCGCTTAGATGATTTTATAATCCTACACACCTATCAAAAAATTTTAAAGTTATGTGTTATAAAAAACAATTTTTAAAATTACTTAACATATTTTATGCTGGTAAAAATTTAAGTTACTTACTTCACGATCTTTCCAACATGAATCAGATGCAGATATTACAGATGTAACAGGATCAACTAAGATACCTGTAGAGTTTTTCACAAGACTTGTATACTTCTTGTACTTTCTTTTCATTTGATCAAGTTTTTCTCGAAAAAACTTATAGTTTATATCAAGATTAAACTCTTGGTTGAACTTATCAACTATAAACTCTTTACCAAGTGGTAACGGATCTTTTAGAATATATCTATTCATAGCAAGTGCTTGGTCGTATAACTCAATATGATCTCATTTCAAATATTCTTTACTCTAGAAAATTCAAAAAGTGATAATGTATTATTCACCTAATTTATAACAAAACTACAAATTTGAATATGATTATAAATATCTTACCCGCACTGATGTTTCTGTGTTAAGAGTATTAAAATTCATGTTTTGTCCACGGCAAGATGCCATATCTACAAATTTGAAAAATGATATTAGTTTCCTATATAAACATTTAATTCCAAACTATTATTTTGTTAATAGGAATAATTAGAAAACTAATTTTAATGAGTTCTAATATAAAAATAATAACTTCAATTAAATACAAGATAAAATGCTATTTGTGTTGTAATATATTAGTAGAAAATAAGTATGTTTTTACATAATATTATTCATCATAAATTTCAAGTTCTGTATACATATTAAAATTCTTATAATTGAGTTTATAAATTAAGTATTACCATAAAATAGATGGAAC